ATATTCTCCCATGCAGTGGGCTTTCTTGTTGTTTTGTTGATAGTTTCTTTTGCTGTGCAGAAGCTTTCTATTTTGATGTAGTCCCATTTGTTCATTTTCTCTTTAGTTTCCAATGCCCTAGGAGCTGTATCAGTGAAGAAATTGCTTTGGCATATGGCTGAGATTTTGTTGCCTTTGGATTCCTCTAGTATTTTTATGGTTTCCCATCTTACATTTAAGTCCTTTATCCATTTTGAGTTTATTTTTGTGTATGGTGTAAGTTGGTGGTATAGTTTCATTTTTTGCATGTATCTGTCCAATTTTCCCAACACCATTTATTGAAGAGACTGTCTTGACTCCATTGTATGTAGAAGGATCATACCTCAACATAATAAAAGCCATATATGACAAACCCACATCATACTCAATGGGCAAAAACTAAAACCATTTCCCCTAAGAAAAGGAACAAGACAGGATGGCCACTCTCACCACTCCTGTTCGACATTGTACTGGAAGCATTAGCCATTGAGATTAGACAAGAAGAAGAAATAAAAGGCATCCAAATTGGAAAAAGAAGAAGTAAAACTGTTCTTATTCGCAGATGACATGATATTGTACATAAAAAACCCTAAAGACTCCATAAAAAACTAATAGATTTAATAAATGAACTCGGCAATGTAGCAGGATACAAAATTAACACCAAGAAATCTACAGCATTTCTATACACCAATAGTGAACTTACAGAAAGAGAGACTAAAAAAGCAATCCCATTTACAATCACACCAAAAAAATTAAGATACCTTGGAATAAACTTAACTAAAGAGGTAAAAGACCTCTACTCAGAAAACTACAGGACGTTGAAAAAAGAGATAGAGGAAGACATAAATGGATGGAAGAACATACCATGTTCATGGATTGGTAGAATCAACATCATTAAAATGTCCATACTACCCAAAGCAATCTTTAAATTCAAGGCACTCCTCATTAAAATACCAATGGCATATTTTACAGACCTAGAACGAACTCTCCAAAAATTCATCTGAAATAAAAAAAAAAAAGACCCCGAATAGCTGCAGTGATCCTGAGAAAGAAGAACAAAGTAGGTGGGATCTCAATACCAGATATCAAGCTGTATTACAAAGCCACTGTTCTCAAAACGGCCTGTTACTGGTGGCACAGAACAGACATATAGATCGATGGAATAGAATAGAGAACCCAGAAATTGACCCTAAACAATATGCTCAATTAATATTTGGCTGGTGTTTTTGTTTGTTTGTTTGTTTGTTGTTGTTGTTTTGTTTTGTTTTTTGTTTGTTTATCAGGGAAAGCTGTGTTCCATGGCAGGCAACTTTCAGCAGAGCTCCCATCATTTGCAATGGATTTTTGATGAAAAAGATCTGTGGATTGAATGCCAGGACTTAACGTTTCTCTCAGAAGAAGAATATTGGAAATTACAAATATTTTTACAAATGTTTTACAAGCATTAGGTGAACATTTTAAATTAAGACAACAAGTTATTGCCACTGCAACAGTCTATTTCAAGATATTCTATGACAGGTATTGTCTGAAAAGTATAGATCCTATATTAATGGCTCCTACATGTATGTTTTTGGCATCCAAAGTAGAGGAATTTGGAGTTGTCTCAAATATAAGACTGATTTCTGCTGCTACTTCTGTATTAAAAACTAGATTTTCATATGCCTTTCCAAAGGAATTTTCTTATAGGATGGACCATATATTAGAATGTGAATTCTATATTTTAGAACTAATGGATTTTTGCTTGATAGTGTAACATCCTTATAGACCTTTGCTCCAGTATGTTCAGGGTATAGGTCAAGAAGACATGTTTCTTCCCCTTGCATGGAGGATAGTGAATGATACCTACAGAATGGATCTTTGCCTACTGCATCCTCCTTTCATGATAGCTTTAACTTGCCTACATGTAGCTTGTGTTGTACAGCAGGAAGATACCAGATAGTAGTTTTCTGTGGATATGGAGAAGATTTTAGAAATAATCAAGGTTATTTTAAAACTATATGAATTGTGAAAGAATTTTAATGAGAGAAAAGAGATGGAAACTATTCTTAGCAAGATGCCAAAACCCAAACCTCATCCAAACAGTGAAGGAGAGCAGAGTCCAAATGGAAGTCGTAATTCTAGCTATAGCCAATCTTAAAACATTCCTAAGAATTCCGAAGTGGACCAGTTGGAAATAAAACATTGGACAGATTTCAGTAATGTCTTCAATGGAACACAAGTAAATATGAATAGCTTGTTTCTATCAAGCATATTGGGAAGTGGCTTTATTTTTGCAAAATAAGTTTTTCCTTATCTAATTTGATTCTAGTATATAAGTGACTAAAGGCACTTGATCATAAAAGTTTGGAAAGGCTCTAAGGGGACCTACAGCCAGACATTTCAAAATTAATAGCTTTTGCCAAGTATAGTTTTTTCTTAATCTGGATAACAGTAATTGTAGTCTTTTATTAAGCCAGGAAACATACAGCATAACTTGTTTAAAATTCTCTTTGGTCATTGAAGGACCAAAAACAGGACATAAGAAGTGAAATATATGAGGGTGCTTCCCCTTCCTTAAGTTAAATTTTGAAATGTATTTAAGAAATCAAATCCTACAAAATCTTGGAAGATTTTGGCAATGATGTTGATAATTTCAGGGTAATTAATCAAGTACCTATTGATTTTAAAGTGTATTTTATTCAGTAGTTTTAGTATCTTGCCATGGAAGATACTAGCCCAGCCTAGCAGAAGAGTGTAATCTGTATAGCATACTTTGATGTTTTTAAATTTTAAAAAGTTATATTAATTCTGTAACTATTTTGAAATTCTGAGCAAACTTAAAAAAAAACCTATATGAAGTTATTTGCATTTGATTCACAGTTAAATCAGGCATTAAGAAAGATAATTGGATAAAACATAATATGGTTGAAATTTGGTAACATTTTAATGTTAATTTATACTCTACTGTGAAAAGTTTTTTGTATGACATACACGCTCTAGTTTATTTTTATGTCTTAATTTGGATCCTGAGCCAGAAACACAATCAGGTTTCAGACCAGTTTGATACTGGCTATTCTTAATTCTCACATGAGCATAGGACTTAAGACTAAATGTAATGTCAGTGGGACTGTGCTGTCTGTGGAACTTAATAAATTAATCATTTTCTTCAAACTTGAAGAAGAATGATAAATAAAATTTAGAGTCATAGGATACTGATGTACAATTTAAGGATTAAAAATTTTTATAAATCAATTGTGAACAATGAATTATGAAATTAAACATTGATTTCCTAGTATAAAACTACAAAAATAAAAGTATATTCTCTAGCTAAAAAACAAACACATAGTAAGTGAAGAGAAACCAATATATTTTCAGAACACAGATCCCTTCCCATAAGGTCATTCAAGATGGGCTTGGCTGGCCAGGTCACTAGACACATGTTACCTATGGATATACCTACCCTGGGGAACAGCAGATAGCCAGGGAGCCTGATGGATAACTGTGTGGAGAACAGAACAGTACTACAGTAGATATGCTAAGAGCACTCTTAGCCCAGAGGAAAGGGTCATTTCCCTGCCAAATTAAACCTGGGTGCTCAGTTTCCATTCCTTAGTCTGTTCCTGCTATCTGACATATCTCTATTCAGTCTATCCTTCTCAATTTCCATGGCCCAGCTTGAATAACACCTTCTCCTTATCAGGCCCCCATGGTCAAGCTCTCCTTCCCTGGAACTTGGCCTCAGAACTCTTACAGAAATTTTGATTTGTATTTTAGTCATCATGTGCATACCATATCTACTCTACCAGACTGTAATCTTGTTGATTATAGAAACTATAACTTATTATCTATGTTAGGTGTAGCCTGCCTACTTTCTAGTACATTACTTAGAACTTGGTGGGTGTGTTGTGTACATTTACTGTAGAAGTTAATGAATTATGCAGTTTATGTTGGTTCATATCTCTGAGCTTTTGCTTACACTGTTTCCCTTTTCTGGAAAATCCTTCCCACTTCAAGTGTTATTTCCTCCAATAAGCGTCCCTAGATCCCTAGGCTGTTGGGCTCCTATAGCACTTTGAGCATCTTCCTATCTTATCACTTATAACCACCGTTGTATATTAAAATTAAATATTGATTACCAGTTTGACCTACTTTACCATAAGCTTCAAGAAGTAAAAAAATTCATCCTAGTCATCCTTATTTTAGCCCAGTGTTGGGTAGTAGCATGCACTTTATAAATGTTTTTCAAACATTTATATAATCCCTCCAGAAGTTTCTGGAAGCATTAGCCCATGACACAGAGGCCCCGGTTTGTTTACTTTGTGTTCCTATTAGAGTGGGCAAAACTGTCCTGAGCTCCAATTCCCAGAGAAAACCCAGCATAAACAACCTTGTCATTCTAAGTTTCCTTTTGGCTGAATGAAGGAGTAGGACTAGGTGTTCTCTAGGGCCTCTTATAATCCCTTGATCCTTGTGTTCCAGGAATTCCCCAGCAGAATAGGTTGTTGAATACAAAAGAGGCAAGCGTGGCCTCTCTTCCGAAGGTCTATAAGATGACCCACTGCCTCTGGGATGGCTGGACATAGGGAAAAGAATTCGTGACTCTTCAGAGTACCCATGATTCCTCTTTTTAAATATCTCTCTCTCTCCTTTTGCCACCTTCCCTTTTCCTCATTCTCCCAGCCTCTCTCTCTTTTTCCCCTTTTTCCTTATCTGCCTCTCTTCTCCTACCCATTCCACTGCACTTTCCTGGCACCTCTACTTCTGCCTCTCCCGCTTTCCCTTTCTCTGCAGATTTACTTTATCCATCTCAGCTCTCCTTCATTTATCCAGCGTCTCTACCCACTCTCTCCCTTGCCTCCCTCCTCTGCTGTCAGCCCTGCAGGAAGCCAAGACTCCTCACGACGCCTGGAGGTGGGAGGGTGAGTGGGTGGGCCCCGGTGCAGCGGTCCCGCCCCTCGGTGCGTGTGTGAATGTGTGGTAGTGACGCGGCACAGGCGGCGGGGAGGGCGGCTGGGACGGCGGAGAGGGAAGCGAGCGGATCGCTGCGCGCCCTCCCGCTCCCTGCCGCCTGCCAAGGCGAAGGCAGCGCGCAGGCGGCGGCGGGCGGCATGGAGAGCCTGCTGGAGAATCCGGTGCGTGCCGTGCTCTATCTTAAGGAGCTCACGGCCATCGTGCAGAACCAGCAGAGCCTCATCCACACCCAGCGCCAGCGTATTGATGAGCTGGAGCGGCGGCTGGATGAGCTAAGCGCCGAGAACCGCAGCCTGTGGGAACACCAGCAGCTGCTGCAAGCTCAGCCGCCGCCCGGGCTCGTTCCTCCGTCCCCAGCCCCGCTGCCCGCTATCCCAGTCACCGCCGCCACCGCCACTGCTGTCGCCCAGGAACAGCTCCAGAACCACGGACAGCTCCCGCCCACCTCGCCACAGACTGTACCGGAGCAGCCGCCGATTCAGCACCACGGACAGTTCCTGGTGCATCCCTCACCGGGCCACAGCAGCAGGGCGCAAGCACCCCAGTCGCCCCACCAGCAGACAGGGGCGTCAGGGGCCATCGCCAACAAGGAGAAGGAGCGTCCCCCGAGTTGTTGCGCTGCCGCTGGAACCCTCCTTCAGCACAAATCCCCCGCTGCTCTCGGCAAGGGCGTCCTGAGCAGGAGACCCGAGTGAGTGGAGAAGAGGGTTTGCGGACAGTTGAGGTGGGAGAAAGGGAAGCAAATGGGTATGAGGAAGAGCCAAGGGGGAAATGGGTGCACTTAAGAATCTGAAGGACTAAGGTAACGTGAAGTGAAGGGGCGAGAAGATGCCTGAGGGTAGAAGTGTGTCAAGGAGATTTGGGGAAAAGGAGGAAATGATATCAGTGTTTGAGAGGGTTTGGGGGTTGTTGGAGAAAAGGGGAATATCCAAACCATCATTGGGGGCAAAGAAGAAAGAAATTTGGTTTAAGTGATTGGGGATGTTGAAAACTAGCAGTTCTTAACGGGGACAAGATTGAAAGAAAGTTGGGGTGAAGATTAAACTGAAGAAAAGGGAACAGTTGGAGAATGTATTTAAGTTGGAAAAATCTTAGAAGAGAGTTTGAGTGGTAAAATTATTTCAATGAGTAGTAAGATATGAAAAAGATGGAGGCTTGGCAAACAGGCATGTTAAGGGCTTTAAAAAGGCTAGGGTCTGGGAAGAGTAGACTTGGGTCTGAGGGAATTCAGGAGGCAGAAGATAAAGCAGGAATGATGTAAAAAGTCCGGGGCGGGGGGGGGGCCGTGCTGTAGATAGAAGATGAGCTGGCTCTTTAATTGATGCAGTGGGAATCAAAGCCAGGAGTGGCTCATTTGGGGAATCTTACCCTGCTCTGACCTGAGTGACTGCCTTTCTTATGAATCCCCACAGAACTAAAGGGGTGCAAGGTAACAACCCACCAAGCTAATGGAGGACTAAGTTATAGTATGAGGACTCAGTCTGGTTATAGCTTTCCCTCTGACTCAAAGAGGATTTCTGTGCAGGGTGGTTGGCAGTCGTACAAAGGGAACAATGATGAGAGAGACAGTTGCCAAACGGAGTTGGTATTTCAGTGTAATTCCTGTTTAAATCTCTCTGTTAGGTCTAGTGACTGCCAATCTTCTTTCCCTTTGGATTTTTGGTGATAACTGAAATCTCATGTTGAGTTGCGAGAGAAATAGTAACCCCCCACGAGGGACTCTAGGACCTTGAGCTCTTTCTTCACACACAATATCCATAAACTAGGAATATGGAAAGAAGAGATGAAAGGGGACTGGAATATTCTCCCCTGAGTATTGGGAAAGCTGTGATCATGTCAGTTTCCTTTCTCTGATTAGAGGTGATGGGATAACTGCATGGAAGAACGGCTCTGGGGAAATCAGCACCTGGTCAGCACCTGATCCTGACAATGATGACGCTAACGGAATTGATTAGGGGAAAGAGGGAAAAGAGCCAAGAATCTCATCTTCATCCAGTCTTGCTGTGCTTTAGATCTGGGGATACTTGTGAAGATTTTTATATATTTCTTAAAAACCCATGTTCTCCTCACATCTACTGTAGGTTAGAGAAGTTGGGTCAGGACATGTTAACTCACAGGGTAGATTTGACCAAAACCATGAGACTTAAGGGGGAAAGGTCTAGGCCAGTGATGGCGAACCTTTTGAGCTCGGCGTGTCAGCATTTTGAAAAACCCTAACTTAACTCTGGTGCCGTGTCACATATAGAAATTTTTTGATATTTGCAACCATAGTAAAACAAAGACTTATATTTTTGATATTTATTTTATATATTTAAATGCCATTTAACCAAAAAAAAAAATCACCCAAAAAAATGAGTTCGTGTGTCACCTCTGACACGCATGTCATAGGTTTGCCATCACTGGTCTAGGACCATCTGAGTTGGCTGACCTAAAGCATTTGATTTGAACCCCCAAGAAGATGGTTTTCTTAGCTCCCTCAGTGGTCCAATTGCCCACCCTTTGGTTTCATTGTTTTCTTTCCTTATCTAGCATAAAAAGCAGAAAGTCAGTTTTCCCTCATGCTCATAGCTAGTTAAAAGGCCCATGATACTATGTGGCTTTCCCCCCAAATAGGGAGATAAAAACTATTTCATTCCCTTTTCCTGAGGGCAGCCATGGCTTCATAAAAATGATGATTCTTCACCTGATTCCTTTCCTCTTGTTCTTTATTGTCTCCTTCTCTTCCATTGCACCCCACATTGTTTGCATCCCTTCAGGATACTATGTGGGCCAGAGAGGTTGAGAAAAGATCCTTTTTCTTGAATAAAAACTTTGCTGTGGCCCCCACAGTGGCTTAGAGAGCCCTAACTCTCCTGCCCAGGTGCTCTTGCTGGGAATTCAGGGGTTTAGGAACCATCTGGATTCCATCCAGCCTCATATGGCAAAACTGGAGAGGAAACATCGTTTTTCCTTCTCCCTTGTCCTGCTTCTGCTTCCCAGGAAAGCAGAACAAAAATAAGAAATAATTAGAGTGGTGGATGAGAGTAGAGATTGTTGGAAATCTCTCACGTAGGAAGTTGTGCCAGGCACTAAAAGGTTGATATCACTGGTAGCTCCTTCATTTATCCAGATCCTCCAGCTTTTTCTCCTGCTCCCAAGTCTGAACACCAAGAGACTTAGAGAGCTTGGGTATGGACATGCATGGCTCACCTCCTTCCCAAGGCACTCTCTCTTCCATAGATGTGAACTGTTGGCTTGCCGGATGCCTTTGGACCACTCATTTCTCCCCACTGTTTTGCTTTAACCCAAATTTTCCCCACAGGACTTCAGGAAGGGATTATCTTTGTTGACCAGATCTTTGGCCTCAGCCTGCTCTCTACCCATGACATCCTCCTTGTATGTCCATCCTCCTCTCCATGCCACTCAATGGTGCAGAGCTAGATGCAGCCAGCAGGCAGGGAAGATATCTCCATGGATAGAGTTAGGGGAGGAGAAGAGCAGAGCCAGCAGCTCTCTCCCCAGTATTTCTCCTAGGGAACTCCCTGCTGAATCAGTTCTCTACTGGGGGTGCTGAAGTGGAGGAAGAGATGACCGAGGGGGGGTGTCTTTGGATTGTAATTTTGCTGAACTCTTTTCTAATTTCATACTTTCCCTTCCCTGGCCTCATTATAGTGAAAATGAGGCCCTGGTGAGGTTGCTGAAAGGTAGGTGAGGGTTACGAGGGGCCAAGCACTGTGTTAGATGCGTTATCTCATCATACAGTTGTCTCTTATCCACGGAACTCCTCTTCCTGCCCAAATCCAGGAGAAGCAGGAGCCCTAGGGAACCTGGGACTGAGAAATAATGGATTGTTTAATTGTCATCAGATCTGCATTAATATGCAGCTTGGCCTCGCTCCCTCTTTCAGCTGAGGGAGATAAAATAATGGTGGCCTTGGAAATTAGGCCAAGGAAGTGACATTATGGAGATAAGTGATTGCAGAGACATCATGGAAGAAGAGACTTCAGGGGTTAAAATTCTTTCTTTGCATGTTTCCTGGCTCTTGCTACGCTTCAGCCCCCACTGCTTTTGCCTCTTAATGAAAGCAGCAATCTTAGCTTCCTCCTCTTTATTTTTTCAATCAAGGCTCACTACATCTACAGAATTGATTATGCTCTTCCTGGCTGAAGCCAGAACCTCAGCCTGACCTGGCAAAGTCTCCTCCTTGCCATGGAAGCATATGGCCCTACTTGAAGCTACTGGCTTCAGTATGACCACAGTTTCTCTGTTTGAGCACAGGTTTGCCCAGCCATCCAGATATGCATTTAGAGCACCTGGACCCCAGGGCTTGCCAACATACCCAAGCCCTTGGGCAGAGGATTTTTGGAGGCTAGGTAAGAACCTTGCATTATAATTCAAATTTAGCTCCTACCCCAAACTCTCCACCTCCAAGTGGCCATGAAGTCTGAATGGCTCAGTAGCGCCTGTCCTTTTTCTTTTCCTTCCTCCTTAGTTTTTTTTCTATACACTTCTTCCTCACTATCCACCCTTTCTCTTCTTTTCTTCTTTCTTGCCCCTTTCTTCCTGCCCCTCACACACTTTCTCTCTCCCATATTTTCTTCTTTCTATATTTTGCTTCTACTTAAGCTGCATAGGGAAGTCTCCCCCTCTCCACTCCCACCCTCTCAGCATAAAATAAATATTGGGTCATCTTTTGAGTTATTATACTGACTGGAGGCTGGAGGCTGGTTAGAAGATCATTGGAAGTGCTTTTTACCCTGTTATCAAGTTGCTGGTTGGAGTAGGTGTCTCTGTTTGGAGGTGCAACTCATGACCAACCCATCCTGAGAGCTATTAAAAGAGTATGAAGGTCTATCAGTCAGTCAACTCTATTGTATCAATTGTCCAGTTAATTCAAAACCCTGCATTCTGTGCTGTGGAAAGAGGAAATAAGCAAACAGTTGTGGTTCAACATGCAGGAGACACATATTTGGAAACATCCAAACAAGTGTAAGCAGATTGCAGCTGCCTAGAGCTACCCTCTATCAGAACAGAATGGTGAAAGGGGTGAGCATACAAATCACATTCAGAGTCCAGAGAGAAGGTTTTATTGGTTGGACTCAAGGGTTTGTGTCAGGAACAGTAAGAGTCAAGGCTAGCTGGATGGAGGACAGGGCCCAGAAGATTCAGTGCATGGAATCACTATAGCATCTGCATATATCCTGTCTTCTGATGACATAGTTCCCTAATCCCCTTATCCCCTCCCTCCAGGCAAAACCCTATCTATAGGGTAAGGAAAGCCCTGGGACTTGGGGTTCTTGTCTATCGCATGACAGAAGGCCTGGTTGCTGAGGCCAATGCTCACCAACCTGCCTATGCCCCTTCTCTTCCTCTGTCTGCTGCAAGGGGAGGACTTGTAGATGGTTAGCTGGAAAATGGGGCCAGAACGAAGGCTCACTGAGAGGAGGGAGTGTGTGGCTTTTTGCTCACCTGGAAGCTGACATGGAGTGGGCATTTGTAAAGATTTTCTGTCCCCCTCCTTTCCAATGGCCCAGACTGCTACGCTTCCTTCCCATTCAGCCAAAAAGAACACAATTCAAGAGAAACAAGTCATCCTGCCTTCTGGGAAATGCTGATGGCCTTTCTCCTCCTCACCAGCCCCCTTTGCCTTGCTCTACCCCTACTCTTTCCTTCCTTACTCCTGAGCCCTTCCCAGGCCCACATAGTCAACAC